AAAATCAGTAAAGATTTAGAATACTTAAGCATCACTATCAATCAACTTGACCTAATTGACATTTCCAGAGCGCTCCATCCAACAGCAAGAACACACTCTTCTCAAGTGCACATGGAAAATTTACCAAGATAAATCATTTTGGGGCCATAAAACAAGTCTCAAAAAAATTAAAAAGACTTAAGTCATACAAATCATGTTCTCTGGCCACAATGCAGAAAATTAGAAATTGACAGCAGAAAGTTATCTGAGAAATTCATAAATATTTGAAAACTAAATAATACACTTATAATCCATGAGGCAAAGAAAAAAATCAAAGAGGAAATTAGAAAAATTTTTTAACTGAATTATAATGAAAATCCAACATATCAGAATTTGTGGGATGTAGCTAAGGCAGTGCTTACAGAGAAATTTATAGCAGTAAATGCTAATTTTAGAAAAGAAGAAGGTCTCAAATCAATGACCTCAGCTTCCAATTGAGAAACTAGGGGAAAAAGAGCAAATGAAGCAAAGTAAGCAGAATAAAGGAAATAATAAAGGTCAGAAATCAGTGAAACAGAACATCAAAAATCAGTAGAGAAAAACCAATAAACCCAAGAAATCCTTCTTTGAGAAGACCAATTAAACTGATAAACTTACAGCAGGACTTATCAGGAAAAAGAGAGAGAAAGAGAAGACACAAATTACCAATCTCAGGAATGAAAGAGTTAGCATAATTACAGATTCTGAAGTCAAAGAATAATATGCAAATATTATGAACAATATTATGCCTATCAATTCAACAACTTAGATGAAATAGAAATTTCTTGAAAGATACAACTACCTAAATTCACTGAAAAAAAATTAAAAATCAGAATATCCCTACAGCTATTAAAGAAATTAAATTTATACTTTACCTTTCCTTTAGGGTGGCTGGCTGGCTTAGTCAGTAGAGCATGTGACTCTTGATCTTGGGATCATGAGTTCAAGCCCCACACTGGGTGTGGAGCTTACTTTAAAAAAATAAATACAAATTTAAGAAATGAATAAAAAAATAAAAACTTTCCCTCAAAGAAAACTCCAGGCCCAGATGATTTCACTGGGACATTCTACTAAATATTTAAGGAAGAAATAATATGAATTTTACACAAACTCTTCTAGAAAATTAAGGAAGAGAGAATACTTCCTAACCCTTCTATGAGGTCAGCATTACAGACCTGATAACAGAACCAGAAAAGGCATTACAAGGAAACTACTGACCAATACACCTCATGAACATAGATGTAATAATTCTTAACAAAGTGTCAGTAAGTAAAATCTAACAATATATTAAAAATATAATACTCCATGATCAATACATTATTCTAGGTTGGTTTAACATATGAAAATCAGTGGATGTAATTTACCATATTAACAGACTAAAGAGAAAAGCCATATGCAGGAAAAGGGTTGCAAAGTCCAATATCCATTCCTGATAAAAACTCTTAGGAGAGTGAGAACAGATAGACCTTCCTCAACATGATAAAGGACATCTAGGAAAAATCTACAGCTAACATCATATCTTCAAGTTGAATGTCTTCCCCCCCAAAATGAGGAACAAAGCAAAGACATTTCCTCTTTCTACTTCTATTCAACATTGTACTAGAAGTCCTAGCCAGTGCAACAAGGCAAGAAAAAGGATCAAAAGAGATTCAGATTGGAAGGGAAGAAATAAAACCATGTTTATTTGCAGATGACATGATTGTCTTTGTAGAAAATCTTATGGAACAATCAGATATTGAAATATAAAATATTCGTTATTAAAATATAAAAATACTGTTCAGTAGCACTAAAAATGTGAAATATTTAGCAGTAAATATCAGAAGGGTGAGCAAGACCTGTATTCTGAAAACTACCAAACATTATTGGGAGAAATTAAAGAGAACTGAAATAAATGGAGCGATATACTATATGTTGTTGTTATGATGCCGGTTCTCCCCAAATTGATCCATAGATTCAGTGCAGTCTTGATCAAAATCCCAGGGGGCTGTTTTGCAGAATTTGATAAGCTAATTCTAAAATTCATATGGCAATGCAAAGGATCTGAAATAGCAAAATCAATATTAAAAAAAAAAGAAGAGCAAAATCAGGGGGTTTACGTTATCTGACTTCAAGATTTATTATAAAGCTAAAATAATCAAGACGGTATGGTATTAGTGTCCAAATAGACAGACAGATCAATGAAACAGAATATAGAAGCCAGAAATAGACCGTCGACATATCTGAATAATTGATTTTCAACAAGGGTGCAAGGGTAACCAGATAGTGCAGGAACAACTAGATAACCATGTGAAAAAAAAAAACCCATTAGGTATGACTACAAAAACATGATCCACAGAAGAAGAGAAAATAATGAATCAGACTTCATAAAAATTAAGAATTTCTGCTCTTTGAAAGACACTGTTAAAAGAATAATAAGATACGCACAGACTGGGAGACAATATTTACAAATCACATATCTGATGAAAGATTGTATTTCAGAATATATAAACACCGCTCAAAACTAACAACTCAACTTTAAATATAGGCAAAGGACTTAAACACACATTTTACCCAAGACAGTTTACTGATAACAAATAAGCCCACGAAAAGATGCTCAATATCTTAGTTACAGGGAAAATGCCAGCCAAAGCCACAGTAAGATACAACTACTCACCTGTTAAAATGGCTCAAAGAGAAAAGACTGATCATAGGTAATGTTGCCAAAGATGTGGAGTAACTGAAAGTCTATTACGTTGCTGGAAGGACTATAAAATGGCACATTCACTTCGGAAAGCAGGTTGGCCCTTTCTTAATAAGTTAAATATGCACACCTACAATTAGACTTAGTCATTCTTATTCCTAGATATTTACGCCCAAGAGAAATAAAAGCATATGCATACAAAGCATATTCATACAAAACCTGGCACACAAACACTCCTATCAGCTTTATTTTTAATAGGCAAATCTGGAAATAACCTAAATGTCATCAACAAGTGACTGGATAAACAGCATATTTATATTCCTATAATGGTATATTCCTATATGGTATATTCCTGTAATATTCCTATAATGGTATATTCCTATAATGAACACTACTCGGCAATAAAAAGTCAAACCATCCATAGGCAACTGAATCATCAACAACAGGATAATCTCAATAGAGTTATGTGAGTGGAAGAACCCATACAAAAAAAAAAAAAGAAGAAGGACATACTGTATGATTCCATGTATTTAAAATTCTGAAAAATGCAAACTAATGTACAGTAATAGAAAGAAGATTAGTGGTTGCCTGGAGAGGGAATGTGGGAGAGTGATACATGGAAAGATTACAAAGAGGCAGAGGGAACCTTTTGGAGGTGATGGGTATGTGGATGATGGTGATAATTTCTCGCGTGTACACATACGTCAAAATTGTGCACCCTAAACACGCATAGCTTATCGCATGTCAAATACGCCTCCATGAAGCTATTTAAAAATGCATGCAGTGGGCACACTAAGTGATAGGCATACTGTGCGCCAGGTTGCGTTGTAAATGTGTGAAATGCCTTCTCTTCAGCCCTCACCACAAAGCGATCAGGTGGGTACTATGGTTGCTCCCTTTTTACCGAGGGACTCTGGAAGTCTTTTACTGAGGTCTGGAGGGTTGTTCAGGTTCCAAGGCTGCCCAGTTGGTAAGTGGCCACCTGACCCTCCTGTTTCGCTCTTAACTCTGAACTCCCGAGCTTCAGGGGCACAAGGAAGTGCGGAGTTCTCACATCCATTACCTGCCTCCTCCGCACGAGTGTGGAGTCAGCAGTTCAAATGTTCGCGCCTGCTTTACATACAGGCTCGCGGAGCTTTAGCCGGGTTAAGGTGGCCTTTACCCAGCTTCACACCGGAGGCTGTCAGGGAAGCGATGCGTCCCTTCTCCTCTTTCCAGGGCCCTGTCCACTGACTCACAGGGCTCCAGCTGCCGTTGATAGACTTCGGCGTTTTGAGTTTTTCAGTCGGCCAAAGATCATGTAGCTTGAGTTCTCTGAGCCTGTAGGTGCCAGAACCCCAACAACGGAGCATTGCCATATTGCTGGGCATTTCCTCTGCAACTGGCGTTCTGGAAACAGGTGAGACTTGGCATTCACCGGGGTCGCGAGGCGGTCGGGCCCACATAGCACCTTCGGGCTTCGGCTTCCTGGAGCTGGCAGGTGGCCCGCCGCCGTCCAGCGGCCGCGTCCCGGCGCTCAGCCCGGTGCCCCTCCCGCGCGGCTCCGCGGGGGCGTCGGGGAGGCGGGCCCGGGGACGCTCGCGAGGCGCTCCGGCGCGGCGCCCCCTGCCGGCGCCCTGCTCCCTCGCCCCGGATCCGGTCCGGGCGGCGCGGGGACTCCGGCCTGAGAGCCAGCGAGCGCGCGGGCGGGCGGGCGGCGCGGCGCGCTGCGGGCGAGCGGGCGCGTCCTGCAGGGGTAGGTGGGCCGCCGGGGACGGGCGGGCAGGAGGGCGCGGGCGGCGCGCGCGGG